CACCATCATAAAGCTGGCACTATTATGTACTATATAATCTTCTTGTATATATGTATATATACAGATATATATATGCATGTATATATGTATATATACAGATATATATGGTATATAATAGTTCCTGTCACATAGTAAGTGCTTAATAAATATCTGTTGAATAAATTAATAAGTTAATGAATGTCCAATTTTTTGTTTGTTGGATTGCTTGTCTGTTTGGTTTTTAAAGTGTCAAGTCCTAGGGAAACTAAGAGAAATAATCTGTCATTCATATCTTAGTGTGAATTCATTGACCCTTATCTACATTTTCCTAATAGAAAACTGAGATTAGCTTTATTAAAGAGGTGGCTTTTCTTGGATCTTGAATTTTTTAAAAAAAAATCTGGTATTTCTCTCATTACTATTTTGTTTCTTTTCTTCCTTTTATCACCACAGAACTTCAATAAGTAAGTTGAATGTATCAGAATCTATTCCTTGTTCATCTACTCATTCTTTAAGTTCTCATCACACCCTAAATCTAATTTCTTTTTTTTTTCTCAGTCCTTTTGCTCCTCAGTTTGTCATGAACACCTACGATTATGAAACAGCACCTCCTTCAACTCTCTTCTTTTGGGTTCCTTAATATGGCATATTTGGGTTCTTCTTCTTCTCTGTTTGTTGTTGTTATTGTTGTTCTCCATGACCCTTATATGTGGACATTTCTTAAGGTTTTCTCTTCAGCCACCTTGCCCTTCAGAAATCTCAAGAACTTTCACAGCATCAACTGTCAGCACTGAGTGACACCCAAGCCTATATACTTTTACATCTTTCTCAAGTCCCAGCTCCTCATCTTCAACTGCCTACTACCCAGTGCTTCGTAGAATTATATGCTGGTGAAATGTTAATGCACCCTGACTAGAAAACATAGAGGCATTGGCCCCCTCTGGTAGAGGGAGTAGAAAGTCATCTTTGGGTATCTACTTGCTTTGATGGAACCTGAGCAAATGTTCTAAGGGAGATTACATGTGTTGAGTATCTACTAAATTCTCTATATTCAAATATAAGTACTTTTCTAATAAACTGTATAACATGTTTCATAGATTAGCAATAGTTATTCTTTTTGAGACTTATTTTCGTTCTTGTTACCCAGGCTGGAGTGCAATGACGTGATCTTGGCTCACTGCAATCTCCACCTCCCACATTCAAGCGATTCTCCTGCCTCAGCCTCCTGAGTAGAGTAGCTGGGATTACAGGCGTGTGCCACCACGCCCAATTAATTTTTTTTGTATCATTAGTAGAGACAGGTTTCACCATATTGGTCAGGCTGCTCTCAAATTCCTGACCTCAGGTGATTCACCCACCTCAGCCTCCCAAAGTGCTGGGATTACAGGCGTGAGCCACTGCGACAAGCCTAGCAATAATTATTTTAGACAAATGTCTCTTTTGTCCCTTTCTACTTCTTATAGACCACTTTTATGCAACAAAAAGGATTTGGGCCTTGAGAACTCTTTGGCATAATATTAAGGCAGAAAATTGCTGTGTGGTAGATGCTATGAAGGATATAAGATATGGTACCAGACTTAAGAAATGTCACAGTTGAACTGGGAAAACAAGTCATTCACTCTGGAGAAGTGAATAAATCGAGAAGCAAATCCCAAGATAATATCATGTCACAGAGGAGTGAGATGCCAAAAAATGGTATAGCTCTGGAGTTTAGAGAAAGTTGAAATCACTTTCAGGAGGTTGGTGTGTTCAGGAATGGCGTCATGGAAGAGGCAGGACTTAAACTTATTCTTAAAGAAGTAGTTCCCAAACTTTTAGCATTCTAGTTCCCAATTTTTGCTATGTGAACAAACTATCCATACTGTTTCTCCCATACTGCTCTTCATGTTGACACATTTTTTTCGTAAATACATTTTTCCTTGCCTTAAACCATCAAATCCATGAAATCACAGGTTTGATATGCTTTTGTGTTTGATGTGTGTTTGTGTTTCTAATACATATGAAACATATACAGTAAATACTCATTATATGGAAATAATTAGTTTTAGAAAAAGACCACTTAAATGGGATCAATCTATCCAAAAGGAATATCAGTCATTCATATTACATTTTGATGCAAACATTTGATTTGGATTTTAATATATAAATGAAACCAAAAATTATGAAAATAAGTAATTTTATTGCATGCTTAATAGATTATAAGATGTTGTTGCAACTATGGATGAACAAAATGTTATTTAATTGAATATTGAGTTTTTTTCTGATAAAATAATATAACTTTCATGACATGAATATTAGAGGACTTAAAAATGGACCTCTGTTGATCTTATAATACTCAAATTATTTTTTTAGTAATCTATAATATAATTCTCAAAAATCAGGGAAACCTCTGGATAAAAGTTATTATATCTAAAGCTCATAGTATATTAGAGTGACTATTTAGTTGTAAATATATAATTATCCAATATTGCAAATGCTCTGTTAAACAGAGAGTTATATTTTCTTTAAAAGCTGTTTAGTTTGGCCAGTTTCTTAACCATTTTTTGCATAGTTTCCCTCTCTCCACAAAGGATACCAATTCTAATGGTATAGATAAAAGAAACTTCAGTTTTTCTTTTTCAAAAAAATCCTACTGGTTTTTATTGTATCTTATACAAGTGGGCCTCAAAGTCTTAAAACAGATTTCTGTTGTATCAGTACTACTGAGGTATGGTAAATGCAAGTCCTATTTAAAACTAAAAATGACTTTTTAGACAACTGTTATTGAAAATAAAAAAAGAGTAGTTAACTGTCTTTCTTGAAATTAATTTCATTATTTCCTTTTCATAAATTTGAAAATCTTATAAGGTAAACATAATTTGTTTTTGTTAAGTAACTAGTTTAAGCCACAATGGGATCAAATTTTTCTAAAGGTAGGTTTATTAGGTTTAATTTAAATAAAGGTTATGAATTCACTTTAATATTATTTTGAATATAAAAATGTATTAATGAGGTTGAATAGTAAAGCAAGTAAAACTATATATCAAAGCAATATGAATAAAATTATGGCCTGTGATACAATTTTATATGAGACTTTGAAAAAAATTATTTTTTTACCTAATAGCATATAGATAATTATAAAATTATAATATACTGGTTTCATGATCACTTTACTAAGCTATAAATGCATTGCAATTTTAATTGTTATTTTGGAACTAAAAATAATAATTAAATGTATTTCCTGAATGTAAAATTTATTCCTTTTGTTGTTGTTGTTGCCCAGTTACTCAATTCTGGGTAGAGTATGATATAGGTTTACATCCATTTTATTTCCAACTGAAATGAGACAATTTCTGTCCTTGTTCTTGGTGCTTCTTAAGAAATACTTTCTTGTATACACAAGAAGATGAACATGGCAGTCCTCCCATATCCTGCTTCAAAATCTGATAAAATACTCAACCCAATGATAATGATTCCTTTTTAAAGGACTAAAAGATTTATAAAAAAAATTGCTAATCGGGCAACTTGGACACTCTGCATCATCTCTTGCAGAACCTCTGGTGACCTCTTGTGGAACCCTAGTGTTTCACAGAACCCTATTTGAGAAACTCTGCTTTACGTTTAATGAATACAGGTTAATGTAAACTCTTCTATGTAATTATTAATCTAAGAAGCTTTTCAAAACTGTTTACTACCTGAAGTCATGTTATCCATACCTTGGGATACACTGTGTAAAAGGACAAGTAAAATATGGATATGTTTTAAAAAGGAATAAGAGCATGACAAATAAGGAGAATATTAGAACAAAGGTCAATGGGGCAAGGAGTTCCCTAACAAATAAACTGGCTGACATCAACAAAGAATTCATTAAGAGAAATAGGGAGGCCTAAAGTTGAGGGGGAAATTATGGGTGAGTTGTAGAAGCCTTGAATTAAGGAAGGAAATGGTCTTGAAAATCCACTAGGGTTTTGAGGATTGAGTAAAACTGGCTGAGAGTTACTAGGGGAAGATGAATTGGCTGAATGGGAAGAATCTGGAAGTAGACAGGCAAGTACAGAAATTGTAGTAAGTTATCCAAGTGTAAATGACAGCCAGAAAAAGAATGGTGGCAATTGAAATGAAGGAATGGGATAAATAAGAGACACATGGTGATAGAGTTGATGGTATCTGGGATCAACCTGATAATGAACATATTTCTAATAGTGGTCATAGTATTTCCATTGTCAGAAGTATTAGAAATCTGGACTTGAGTGAAAAGTTTTGGAAATCATACTAGGCTGAGCTGTTTTCCAAGACTCACCAGCCAGTCATCCTTCCTGGCCTTGTACCCTGACTATTATTCCTACTATGTCCTGTAGGAATATGGACCTAGCAGTGCCATATTGTCTGACTTTTCTAGAAAAATTAAGAAATTCAGCTACTTTGTGAAATCTTCCCATTTTTAAACATCAACAATTCAACTTTTTGTTAAATAAAATATATGACAGACTAGATCTGGTTGCCAATTTGCAACCTCTGGAAATCTGTCTGCTGCTGCTTTTTTTTTTTCTTTTTGTGTGTGTGTGTGTGTGAGACGGAGTTTCGCTCTTGTTGCCCAGGCTGGAGTGCAATTGTGCAATCTCTGCTCACCGCAACCTTCGCCTCCCAGGTTCAAGCAATTCTCCTGCCTCAGTCTTCTGAATAGCTGGGATTACAGGCGTGCACCACCACGCCCGGCTAATTTTGTATTTTTAGTAGAGACGGGGTTTCTCCAGGTTGGTCAGGCTGGTCTTGAACTCCCGACCTTAGGTGATTCACCCACCTTGGCCTCCCAAAGTGCTGGGATTACAGATGTGAACCACCGCGCCCGGCCCTGTCTGCTGCTTTCTAAACGTCACCTTGAAATGTACTCAGACCAAGAGGTAATAGTCCCTTTTAGAAGCCTGTCTGTGTTATTCCTTATTAGTGGGAAGCTCATAGAAAGGCTTTTTATATTAGCTACTATTTTCCTTTTGTTGGAATGTTGATTTGAAAGTTACAAGCCTTTCTCTGCTTCTTCCCAGCCAGGTCTCTAGACAAACTTTATAACTTTGCTGATTGCTCTGGACTCCACCTGATATTTGCTCTAAATGCACTGCGTCGTAATCCCAATAACTCCTGGAACAGTTCTAGTGCCCTGAGTCTGTTGAAGTACAGCGCCAGCAAAAAGTACAACATTTCTTGGGAACTGGGTAATGGTAAGTAAGGATGTTACTTCCTCTGAATTGACAAAATAAAGGGGAAAAATAAGTTGGCTTGTGATACAGTCTCAATCAGACCATCTCTAGTGCCCTGGCCCAGAAAACATTTGTGATGTTTGGCCACTGAGTTGACTCTCCAAATGGTAAAAGACCAAATAGTGAAGGACAGTAGATTTAGTGAATACATACCATTTGCATCTATAATTATCTCTAGTTACCTCATTCCAAATATGGGGGAAATGCCACAAAATGGGAAATATATAGTGATTTATGACTAACAAATTGATTTTATAACCTGTTTGCACAGCCTGAGCTACCTTTTACAATGTGTGTTCTGTGGAACATGGGTCCTACAAGATGATCCTGCTAAAATAATAATTCAAAAGAGCTTTGGTCAAATATATTTGAGGACCTTTATACAGTATGTGAACCTCCTGAAGGATCACAGTACACATTAGTATATAAAAGGCTATAAGAAGTGTTGTTGCAAAGAAATCTGTTTGACATTTTTTAACCCAGCATTTCTTAAACAATTTCACCAAGGCTAGTTTCAAGGGTGTGCAGCCTGTGCTGTCACATAGGGCCCATGCTTAGAAAAGACCCATTTTTGGCTGGGCGTGGTGGCTCAGGCCTGTAATGCCAGCACTTTGGGAGGCCTAGGTAGGTGGATCACGAGGTCAGGAGTTTGAGACCAGCCTGGCCAACATGGTGAAACCCCGTCTCTATTAAAAATACAAAAATTAGCTGGTCATGGTGGCAGCCCCCTATAATCCCAGCTCCTTGGGAGGCTGAGGCAGGAGAATCGCTTGAACCCGGGAGGCGAAGGTTGCAGTGAGCTGAGATCATGCCACTGTACTCCAGCCCAGGAAACAGCAAGACTCCATCTCAAAAGAAAAAAAGAGAAGAGACCCATTATTGCTTTCATTCTCTGCAGTCACCATCTTGAAATTCTTAATGCTTTTTTAACAAAGGGACTCATACTTTCATTTTTCACGGGGCCCTACAAATTATGTAGCCAGTCCTATTTAATCATTAATGTGTGTGTGTGTGTGTCTGTGTGTGTGTGTGTGTGTGTGTAGCATAAGTTATCATTCATTCCATGGAACAATATTCCATGGAGCACAATTTGGAGAAATATTTCCTAAATCATGCTATATTCCCAATGATATATATTTATTTGTGACATATATGTTATTCTGTAGATTTCATGACTGTAATATTGAGTCAATATGGATTATAGTTAAAATTATTGATAGTATAGATATGAAAATGTGTGATTCTCACATTAAAATACCTTTTGGTATACTTTAGAACAAAACAAACCAAGAATTCTCTTAAAATTACTGATGCAAATTCATTCCAGCATTTTCATTAACAGTCTTATATGTCTTTAGCTAACCCATATTTGTTTGGAGCACTATATGTGTGAGTGTGTGTGTGCCCATGTGTATTTATTGCATCCTGGAATTTGGATTTCTCAAAATAAGATGGCAAGGGAAGAAAAGAATAAATGTCCAACTTTCCTACCCATAGCCACTAACTGGAATGCAGCTCTCCGTTTCTTTCTTCTTTCTCTGCTTTTCTCTCTTCTTTGCCTGTGGAAATTAGGGGATAGTTAGTGACCAAATGGAGACCTGTTGAGTTGAACTGAGGATACCATGACTGTAGGAGGCTCAGCTAGGATAGCCTGAGGGTTTTCATATTCCAGACTTGCCTGAGTATCATACATTTGACAACAAAGCAGGAATGATATGATCAGCTTTGGAGTAGGCCAAAGTATTACATTGTCAGTAAAGTCTTTCACTGATCCCTTTCCATACCATTTTCTATTTATATTTTTTGACATTTTTTGGTATTTTATGTTTCTACTCATGACCACCCACCTAACCTTACCCTCCTCAAATATCAGGCTCTGCCCAACTTAGCTTTATTCTCCAGAGCAAAATATTCTTCAAACAGGGCATGACACCTGCTGTGAGAGACCAATTGGGCATAATGGTTAAAAGAGATAAGTATCAGACACTAAAGAATGGTAGGTCTTTTGTTGAACTGGAGAATACATGCCCAAAGGCTTTGTTTGGTTTTCTTGTAAAACTATTGTGCTGCCTACATAAAACTGGTTTGTAAAAAATCTCAACTAATAATAGATACACCCAGATTAAATAAAACTTACCTACCCGTGATTGACGGGAATAATTATTCTAGGGTTTTTGGCATCTCTGAGTGTAGGAGCTTGTTAAACTAAATAAATTTACAATTGGCATAATTGGAGTGATTTTGTGGAGGGGGTGGGTTGGAGGAGAGAATATATACATCTTTCCATATACATCTATTCCAGACAAGTAAGAACTTGCCCCTCCCCATCAACCTCCTTCCTTCAGACAATGCTACATAGTTCAGAAAAGGAGCTAATTACACTTTAAAAAATGTTATTTAGACACTTTAGCCACACATCATTTGGTTCCCATCATCATCTTTTATTTTATTTTATTTATTTATTTATTTATTATATACTTTAAGTTGGTAGGGTACCATGTGGGCATACGTGCAGGTTGTCACATATGTATACTTGTGCCATGTTGGTGTGCGCACCCATAACTCGCATTTAGCAGCAGGTATTGAACTTCCCAATGCGAATCCGCTCCCGCTCCCCCTCCCCATGATACGGCCCCGGTGTGTGATGTGGTCCCTCCGGAGTCCATGGATCTCGACTTGTCAGTTCCCCACTATGAGCTGAGAACATGCGGGGGTTTGGTTTTCTTTCTTTGTGATTCAGTTGCTAAGAAGAGTGTTTCCAGGCTGCATTTCCATGTCCCTACAAAGGACAGCAAAGACCGATCCTTATTTCATGGCTGCTAGGTATTCCATGGTGTATAGTGCCACATTTCTTATCCAATCTGTGCACTGATGGACATTGGGTTGATCCAAGTCTTTGCTTTTGTGGGAATTAAAGTGCTGCAAATAACATACGTGTGCATGATGTTATAGCAGCATGAATTTATAATCCTTGGGATATATACCCAGTAATGGGATGGCTGGTGATGCATCGGTACATCTAGTGTCCATAAGGAGTTCCGTTAGGGGAATCGCATTTACTGTTTTCCATAATAGGTGAACTAGTTTACAATCCCACCAACAGTGTAAAATGTGTTCGCTATTTCTCCAATCCTCCCAGCACCTGTGTTCCTGACTTGTTTAATTGATGCGCCATTCAAACTGGTGTGGAGATGGTATTTCATTGTGGTTGTTTGATTTGCATTCTGCTGATGGCCAGTGAGTGATGAACATTGTTGTTCATGTGTCTGTTGGCGGTATGAATGTCTTCGTTTGAAAGAGAATGTCTGTGCCGTATCCTTTGCCCACATTTTTGATGGGGTTTGTTTTTCTGTGTACAATTTGATTTGAGTCTTGTAGTTCTGGATATTAGCCTTTGTCAGATGAGGTAGATTGCAAAATTTTTCTCCCGATTCTGTAGTGTGCCTTGCACTCTGATGGTAGTTCTTTTGCTGTGCAAAAGCTCTTTAGTTTAATGGAGACTCCCATTATGCAATTTTGGCTTTTTGCTGCTGTTGCTTTGGTGTTTTAACATTGAAGTCTTGCCATGCCATATGTCGCTGTGAATGGTACTACCTAGGGTTTTCCTCTAGGATTTTTCTGGTAGTAGGTCTAACATTTAAAGTCGTTAACCATCTTGAATTAATTTTCGTATAAGGAGTAAGGAAAGGATCCAGTTTCAGCTTTCTACTTATGGCTAGCCAATTTTCCCAGCAAAGCGCCTCCTCAGGGCTTAACAACAACAAATAATTGTTTATAAGGAGAAGAAAAGGCACTGACATTGATAAAAAATAGGAATATAGATAGGAAAAGAACAAAATAATTCAATAAAGTGAAAAATATCCAATAATGTGTGTTTCTATAGGTCATTTTGAATCTCTAGTCAGAAAGTCTAGAGTTAGTGTTTTCCCGTTAAAGTGCATTTCTATTTTTTATGTAACCATATACATGATTAATAGATAATACATGATTATTAATGATAAATAATAAATAATCATTTATTAAGGCTACATTTTAGAGTTTAAAGAATACATTTTAGAGTTTGAAGATTTATTTTGCTGTTTCTTTAATTCATTTTACAACTACTGATAGTTCTTCTTTACTAAAATCATCTCTCTTAAGATATCCAATGTACAGTATTCTGCTCAAAACTATTCTGTGTTCTATATTCAGCCTCTTCCCCCTCAAAATATCTTCATGGTAGACATGTTTCTCTAATCTTCTAGCCATTTTCTGCTTTGTAACCTTATCTTTTTGGACAGAGGTAATCATTTAATCATTATATTCACATTCAGGAAGGGACAATAGAACAGGTCAGTCTTCTTATCACTCATCTTTCCATATACCTACACCATGTTAACAAGTATTTTATCTCTAGAGCAAATCTAGCATTGGAAAAAAACAAAGTATAAGTTTCTTTGATTGTTTTTTCTAGAGTGGCTAAACTTTAAGTGACTAACCTACTTCTTTTCCTCTTCTTTGAAAGCAGTGAATAATGTGGGCTACAGACCACGAAAGCAAGATATACCCAATATCAAGAGGCAAAGATGAGAAAGTTTAGGATGTTAAAGTATATGAAAGAATGACTTTCTTCGGCCAGGCATGGTTGTTCACACCTGTAATCCCAGCACTTTGGGAGGCCAAGATGGGAGGATTGCTTGAGGTCGGGAGTTTGACACCAGTCACAACATAGCAAGACTCCATCTCTACAAAAAACTAGAAAGTTATCTGGGCATGGTAGCATGCACCTGTGATCCTGGCTACTTGGGAGACAGAGTCACTTGAGCCTGGGAGGTCAAGGCCGCAATGAGCCATGATCATGCCACTGCACTCGAGCCTGAGTGACATGGTGAGACCCTGTCTCAAAAAAAAAGAGAAAAGAAAAGAAAATCAAAAGCAAAACAAAAAAAAAAAAATGACTTTCTTGACACCATACTTTTTTA